AAAATAAGACCTGTCCCACCTGTGTTGAGTAAATGGTATCAGATCACACAGTGTTTTGTTGCTGTCACGTCATGAAGGTTTTATCCAAGGTTGTTTTTGAATTGCAGATGAGATAGAAATCCTTCTTGGAGGAAGAGTGTGAGAGAGAAAATGGTCCAATCCAACGTCCCGGGGGACGTTGGGATTGGACCATTTTCTCTCTCACACTCTTCCTCCAAGAAGATTCTGATCTCATCCTGCAATTCAAACAACCTGGATAAAACCTTCATACGTGACAGCAACAAAACATCTGTGTGATCTGATCCCATTTACTCACACAGTGTGGACAGGTCTTATTTTGATGTAGTTTACTGTGGCAGTGATGTCTGTCATTATATCACTCAGCTCTCGGTGTATCATACAGTGTGTCCACTGCACATTGGGGGAAACGCTCTTTACTAGCTCTTGCAGCCCTCCTCATTTCTCAGCCATTGCCTGGGCCCCATCTGTGCAGATCCCCACACAGTCCTCCAGCTTCAGATCAGCCTCTTTCAAGTAAGTGTCAATGATTTTGAACAGTTTGTCTGCAGTGCCTCTGTTTGTTACTTGGCAGAAAAGCAAATCCTCCTTAAAATCATCAGCATCAATAAATCTGACATATGTTATTAATAAACAGTCTTTGTTGCTGTCAGTCACTTCATCTATCTGCACAGTAAACCGGCTGTCTCCAATCAATTAATCTGCTCTTCTATATCTTTTGACATTTCATAAATGCTCCTCCAGATATTATTGTTTGACAGAGGGATAGCCTTTAGTTTGCTGGTTGTTGCTTCATCAGTCATAGTTGAAACCAGATCAGTAACAGAAGGAAGAATTAATTCCTCAGCTACAGTGTGCAGCTTTTTACACTGAGCAGCTCTGTAAGCTACTTTATAGGAGGCAAGTTGAGCATTTGAAGGCACAGATGCTGCTTTAGTAAAGCTTCTGTTTTGCGCGACAGTTTTCCTCTGAAGAAATCAACAGGCTTGGCTTTGTG